TCATAAATTGGATGGCTACAAGCTCTTCAGAAGGGACAGATTAGGAAGGAAAGGTGGTGGTGTGGCCCTTTATATTAAAGACTGTTTTGATGTTGAAGAGCTTGGGGTTGGAAATGATAAAGTTGAGTGTCTGTGGGTAAGGATCAGGAGGAAGGCCTGTAGGGGTGACATCTTGGTGGGGGTCTGTTATAGACGACCTAATCAGGATGAAGAGATGGATGAGGCGTTCTATGAGCAGCTTGCAGAAGTCACGCAATCTCCAGCACTTGTTCTCATGAGAGATTTCAATTTCCCTGATATATGTCGAAAATATAATACAGCACCGAGGATGCAGTCCAAGAGGTTTCTAGAGTGTGTGGATGCACTGCTAGACCTGCTCTTCACTAACAGAGAAGGACTGGTGGGAGATGTGAAGGCTGAGGACTGTCTTGGGCAGAGCAACCATGAAATTGTAGAATTCTCTATTCTATGGTGATATCAGAAGGGTGACTAGCAAAACTGCTATCTTGAATTTCAAGAGGGTGAACTTTGACCTGTTCAGGATGCTTGTAGCACGGGTCCCTTGGGAGTCGCTCCTTAAGGTTAAAGGGATCCAGGAAGCCTGGATGCTCCTCAAGATGGAAATCGTAAAGGCACAAGAACAGGCTGTCCCTGAATGCTCTAAGGCAAGTCATAGGGGAAGAAGACCAGTGTGGATGAACTGGGAACTACTGTTGAGAGTATGGAAGAAAAAGAGAGTCTATGTCCTCTGGAAGAAGAGACAGGCTACTTGGGGAGATTACAAGGAAGTTGCCAAGGTACACAGGGAGGAAGTTAGGAGAGCAAAAGCACAGCTTGAACCCAGATTGGCCACTGCAGTAAAAGAGAATAAGAAATCCTTTTATAAGTATAAGAGAATATGAGCACTGAGGATAAGGAGGAGGCTGAGGTCCTCAATGCCTTCTTTACATCTGCCTTTAATAAGCAGATCAGTTATCCTCAGGGCACTTTACACCCTGATCTGGAAGTCTGAGATGTTACACAAAATACACCCCCAGTGATTCAGGTGGAGACAGAGAGCTCCTCCCCTATCTGGACTTTCACAAGTCGATGGGACCAGAAGGCTTCATCCTAAAGTGCTGAGGGAGATGGCGGGGGTGATTGCAAGCCGCTCTCGGCCATCTACCAGCGCTGCTGGTTATCTGGAGAAGTCCTAGAGGATTGGAGGCTTGCTGATGTGACTCCCGTCTACAAGAAGGGCCATAAGAAGGATCTGGGGAACTACAGGCCTGTCAGCCTGACATCAGTGCCAGGGAAAGTTATGGAGCAAATCATCTTGGGTGAGATCACATAGCATGTGTGTGGCATCCAGTGTGTGGCCTGATCCAGGGGATCAGGCCCAGCCAGCATGGGTTCATGAAAGGCAGGTCGTGCTTGACCAACCTCATCTTCTTCTATGACTGCGTGACCAGCCTGGTAGACAGGGGAAAGGCTGTTGATGTAGTCTACCTAGACTTCAGCAAAGTCTTTGACACGGTCTCTCACAGGATTCTCCTGGAGAAACTGGCCACCTGTGGTCTGGACAGGTATACACTCCTTTGAGTAAAGAACTGGCTACAGGGCCGTGCCCAGCAGGAAATGGTTAATGGAGTGAAGTCCAGCTGGTGACTCGTTTCAAGTGGTTCAAGTGGTGTTCCCCAGGGGTCGGTACTGGGACCCATCTTGTTTAATATCTTTATTGATGACCTAGATGAGGGGATTGGGTGCACCCTCAGCAAGTTTGCAGATGACACCAAGCTGGGAGGTGGTGTTGATCTGCCTGAAGGCAGGGCGGCCCTTCAGAGGGATCTAGATAAGCTGGATCGCTGGGCCGAGGTGAATGGGATGAGGTTTAACAAGGCCAAGTGTTGGGTCCTGCATTTTGGCCACAACAACCCCATGCAGCATTAAAGGCTTGGGGATGATTGGCTGGATGATTGTGAAGAGGAAATGGACAAGGGGGTACTGGTTGATGTTCAGCTGAACATGAGCCGACAGTGTGTGCAGGTGGCCAAGAGGGCCAACGGCATCCTGGCCTGCATTAGAAATAGTCTGGCCAGCAGGAGCAGGGAGGTGATCATCCCCCTGTACTCAGCACTGGTGAGGCCCTACCTCGAGTACTGTGTTCAGTTTTGGGCCCCTCACTACAAGAAAGACATTGAGGCCATGGAGCATATCCAGAGAAGGGCAACGAAACTGGTAAGGGGGCTGGAGCACAAGACTTATGAGGAGCGGCTGAGGGAGCTGGGATTGTTCAGTCTGGAGGCTCAGGGGAGACCTCATTGCACTCTACAACTTCCTGAAGGGAGGTTGTGATGAGGAGGGGTTTGGCCTCTTCTCCCAGGTGACAAACAGGACCTGAGGAAATGGCCACAAGTTGTACCAGAGGAGGTTTAGGTTGGATATTAGGAGAAACTTTTTCTCTCAGAGGGTGGTCAGGCACTGGAATGGCTGCCCAGGGAGGTGGTGGAGTCGCTGTCCTTGGCAGTGTTCAAGAGGCATCTGGATGAGGGGCTATGAGATATGGTTTAGTGCTTGTAGTAGCAATGGTAGTGGGAGGACAGTTGGACTAGATGACCTTGTAGGTCGTTTCCAACCTTGTGATCCTATGATTCTATTTCATCTAGTTATCAAGGCACAACTTCTGTTTTCCTCTGTTCAGTGTGCATATAGGAATGGGCTGGCAGGAGAGAGGATCTGCAACAGGAGAACATAAGAAATACATACCTATGATGACACCCTGGCTGTTCCTTTCTTAATTTTCCGAGACTGTGGAATAACTAACTGATAATTATCACACAGTGTTTCTAGTAAGCTGTTCTACACTTCAAGAAAAAATAGGGTGTTTTTCATCGGGACCTTATTATGCTGGAAAGGCTGTACTTACTCAAGAAAATATCCTGTTTCTATGTGCATACATCAGTAAGCCCTTATGCAGTCAGCTGAAATCAGTAGAAGTCTTTCTTTATGTCTTAAATGATTCCAAGAGCAAATCAAAGTTCAGAATATGTATTAAGGTCATTTGTTTTTTAGTTTTGAGATTGACCCAGAGTAGAAGTAAAAGGTTTGGGGCAACAGGCTGATCTCAATGATTTACATTTTTCATTAACTGGTCTCTTAAAGTCAAAAAGATGGTTCATGAATAGTTTGTTATTTTTTCAGTGTCTGTAATAGTCTTAATGCAGAATGGGGGATCCATGCTTAAAAGTGAGTGAAACTTTTATGTTGCTGTGATTTAAAATGTCCTGATTTCACTCATGCGACTGATGACACTTTTGTGATATTTTTCATGTTTTGAAATGTGAACACTTTTCTGCTTAAAATAATGTAAATGATCAAACCCTGATAGAGCTATGACTAAAACAGCGTATGTTGACTTTCCACTGGCATGCAAAACCATATTATTTACTTTCCATTTTATTTTAGAATTAAAAACAAAAACAACACACACCCACAAAAAAAAAAAAAAAAAAAAAAAAAAAAAACCACTATGGATAATGTAATCTTCTATGAATAGATTCCAAAAATGACAAAATGTTATTTTGATATCTACGAAGTCTGCTCCAAAAGTAATGCTTCTTATTTATTTCCATGGAAACTACAACAGATACAAAGAGCAGAATAACACTGTAATAGAGCAAATTTCAAGCTACAAAACATTGTTTTTCAACACAGTTGCCATCATCATCTATACATTTTTGACAGCAATAAACAAGAACCTTCTTGCTGCGCTCATAAAAATCTGCACCAGCGGAGATGGCCCAGTGTTTCATAGCTGCTGAAATGGCCCACACAGTCCATCTTTTATCAGCCTGAACAGATGGAAGTCAGAAGGCAACAGATCTGGAATACAGTGTCTGTGGCAGGACAGTCCAGTCAAGATTGGCAGTGTACTCCATGATCTTCAGACTGGTCTGGGGCCTGGCATTACGATGTTGCAAGAGAAAGTTATTCTTATCCTCTGACCTGACTGTGGAAGTTTGAGACTTCAGCTTAGTCAGCTTTGCAATGTGGTGATCAGAGCTGATGGTTTGTCTGAGTTCCAGGAAATCCAGAAGAATCACTTTCCTATCCCAAAAGACAGTGCACATCACCGTGTCTTGAACTTTTTGCCCAGTGAAGAGTTTACATCACCATTCCATGCACTGCTATTTTGACTCCAACTCATAGTGGTGATACAATATCTCATCACTGGCAATGATGTGATTCAGGAAATTGTCACTTCAGACTCATACTGGTTCAATGGGCACTGACAAACTTGCATGCATGACTTTTCTGTTCCTGTGTGAGCTTTCATGGGACCCACCTGGCACAAACTTTGCGATATTCCAATGTTGCCACAATTGTTTCCAACAGATTGAAGCTGATATTCAGCTATATATACAGATCCTTGGTTGTAATCCGCTGATTGGTGTGGCTGAGCTGGTTGAGACCTCTTAATTTTGTGCTGTGAAAACTATGCATGGCCATCCAGAATATGGGTTTTCTTTCACATCACTGTCACCACTGCTGAGACACACCACCCATCATCTCACTGTGCTCACATCCACTGTTTGATCTCCATAAGCGTTTACCAAGCATCAATCACATCAGCGGGTGCCATTTTTTCCTTGTTGAGGGTTTTAGGTACACACCTTTGCTTCATCCATGCTTCCACACCAGATGCCATTTTGTTAGATTGCTCTTCTTCTGCCATCTGTCACATAGCAACAAAACATAATGGGACACTGATGGGAAGGTTCAACCTCTACTGATGTACCACCATCTGCCTCTGATGTTGTGGAACATCATAACATAGGGGGCATTAGTTTCAGAGCAGCCCTTGTATTTCTTGGTTTTCAGAATGAAACACACATAAATGTTGAAGTTAACTACGTAGGCAGAAATGGAAATCTTCAAATTATGAAATTAGGGGTGTTGGAGTAAGTATGTATTTACAGATTTTTTCGTTACTAAATGAACTCTTTCTTTTTTTCTTCCAGTCTGCTCCCAATATTCTAGAGGAGTTTTTGCCATTTTTGGACTTTATGATAAGAGATCAGTACATACCTTGACCTCATTCTGCAGCGCCTTGCACATCTCCCTCATCACACCAAGTTTCCCCACTGAAGGTGAGAGCCAGTTTGTGCTGCAGCTGCGGCCATCGCTGCGGGGAGCCCTCCTGAGCTTGCTGGATCACTATGAATGGAACCGCTTTGTCTTTCTGTATGACACAGATCGAGGTGAGTTGTAACCACCTTTATTATATTAGTTCAATTGACTTTTGCAGGAACTGTGCATTTTTATATGGCATTGAGAGCTTGGGGAGTCAAATTTAAAAGCTCTTCCATTTTAAATACCTTTCTCTGAGCAGCTCTGTTGTTGAATGAAGAATTCCTTCATCTGCAAACACTGGACAGTGCAAGCAAATAGTAATCAACCAGCTGAAACCTGCAGTTCAAGTCTAGAATAATAAAACATTTTAATTAATGTTAGTGAAATAAAGACACAGTTCGATAAGCAGAATCGTCCAGCTGAGTTCACTCTTCAGATCACTTCATAAGTGACAGCGGTAGAAAGAAGTGGAGAGGGCTGACCACTTCTCTGCTGCACTTGCACCAATGTGAGCTGAGAAGTGAGCAAGCCTCTCGTGCCTTTGGAGATCAGGACAGGATCACAGAGTGCATGATCCTTAAGCTGCAGCAGAGAAATGAAGGGTGATACAGAGAGGACATGGCAACAGCCTTCCCCATGCTACTCCTTTCATCTTCTGTGATCAACCATATTTTATAAGGTTTATAGTGCATTACAAAAGGCTACACTTTTTATTTGCATTATCCATTCCAAACTGCAGAGCATCTCAGAGCTTTTGAGTGGTAAAAAACTATAAGTGCATTACTGCATCTTGTCATTAGTGCCTAATTGAGAAGTAAAATCTCACGTTCTCCATGTTATGTGTTCATCCTGGCAGCAGAGCATTTTGCCTTGGTGTATGGAAGGGGATTTAGCCAACATGGCTGAGCTTCTGGGAAAGAAGCAAGATTTTTATGTTGATGGCCTACTTTCAGGGGAAAAGTGATGCATGGCTGTAGTCAAATAATTATTTTACTACAGCCATTTCCCTGTAGCTGCCCATGTGGATAGACTATTCTGAAGTGGCTTTATTCCAGAGTCATTATTCTGCAGTAGAAATAGGAAATCATACTGACCTAACTAAATCTGTTTAATTATTTCATTATGACTATAGAAGTCAGTTTTCTGGTATATACAATCACAAAATTTTAGAGAGTTTTTAGTAAGTTTTTAGCACTGCATGAACACCTGAACTTAATTTTAAAATAAATAAATAAATAAATAGAACTTGTATTGTTCCATAATTGCTAATGTTGTTTTTTGCTTTTCTTTTTAAACTGATCTGTTGGTTCTGTTTGTAAGTTTTTGGTTTGTTTTTTTAATGTTTGCTGGTTCAGTGAGGGAAATTTTGGGAAGCTGTTGTGTTAGAGGACAACATGTTGAGTTTGGCACTGTAACTCCAGTCACTTTCAATATATGAACTACTACAATTACTGATTCACAAATAGCACACTGCCCAATTCATCTAGCAGTGTTCCATGAGCTTATTCACAGCCCCATCATAATTTGTCTAGCAGTGCTATACCAGAAACTAACACAGCTAGATCAGTGAAGGAATTTTGGCCATGGCCACTCAGAACTAACATAGCTACCTTAGTGAATGGTGCATTTTATTAGCAACTGGTTACAGGTTCTTGCCAGTGATAATTCACTGTCTGCAAAGCGTGAGTTTAACCAAAAACAATACACAGCATGTGCAAAGAGCTAACAGTAATTCACCCTGGACAGAAGCCCACTAAACTATAAAACAAACTTTACAGTGATTACTGCACTTCCCAGGGAAGCACTCAGCATTAACCAAGTGTGTGAACCATACCAATTGGTGTCCCTATGGGCAGGAAGAAAGACTTGGCCTGTCAACTGATCACAGATGTATGCAGGTGTTCTACCAACTTGTCTGACATGGTATGGTGTCTTCCCTAATCTTTCCCTCTCTTAAGCCATTTTCATACTATTTCTTACTCTACAGGTGGAGCTTGAGTGACTCTGGTCATATATACCTTTCTTCTGATTGGTGTAAAATTCTCTCATTTCACTTTTAAAGGTACAGGTTAAAAAATCCAAAAATCCCTTAGTGAGGAGTGGTTGCAACTTGATGATGGGTAGCATTTGAGATGGAGGTGCATTCTGGCATTATAATGAGTGTATAATGATCAAAATTAACTCAAAACATGACATTTTGTAAAATGAAAGTGACAGACTTTTGTCCTGCGGTAGCAGGTGGTTTTATCAGTGCCTTGGCACCACTAAGTCCCCATCCCAGCATTGTTCTTCTTAGAGTCAGTACATCACATTCTCCTGATGTCACCAACAGCTAAGGTTCCCTGGGGAACTACTATCAATTACAGAACTTGGCCACAGAGTCTTCACTTCGCTCTACCTTCTATGCTATTTAATGGCTTTCCGTTGCTTTTGTACATCTATGAACAATCCATACCTTAATTTTAAGTGAATAGTGTTATACCTTAATTTTCAAGTTGCCTGTAGCAATTATTCCACATTCTAGAACATGCTAGATAACTATAAGAAAAGAGAAAAAATGATGAATTTAAAAGTGTTCTTATTCAAGACATCGTAATGCGGAACAAGCAAACAAACACACAATTACAGATGTGATCCTACAAGTTCAACAAATTATCATGAGAAGAAGAGCAAAACCAGAACTCTACTTTCTCATCTAAATTCACATGCTTAATTAGATTGAGGCATCATTTTTAAGCATGCAGTAACACACCAAGGGCAATTTCAGAACATCACCTATAACACTGTGGTCAATAAATGATTCTTATGGCAATAAACTCAGAAACTCTGAACTCATCAGTGTATCTGATAAAGAGATTATATTTGCCAGATGTATGCAGAGAGTGGATTTTCTCTCAAAATTTGAATAGGTCTTGTGACTCCATTTAATGCAGAAGAAGGTAAGATGTGATGTACCTTTAAATATTAAGATAACTGTAGAGATATAATAATTTTCACTACCACTCCACAAAGTGGAGCTCAGATATGATATGGAAAAAAAAAGTAAATATCATCTTTTAATTTAGTGTAATCAGGAAAAAAATCATTGCTCCTGAATCACAATAGAGTTTCTGTGAGACCAGAACTTAGTCACGTCCAGATTTTTGCCAAAGAACCTTCATCTCCATTCCAGACATATCCCCGTCTCTCCAAGCAGCTCCATCTAACCAAGCTGCAGGGATGGGAACAAGAGTTATGTCTTCTTTTTTACATTGAGCCTGCAAGTTTCTCTTTGCAGCTTAACCAGAAACCTATAAATAAATTCTTATGCAGGAAGGTAAATGATAAGCATACGTTCCAGCCAGATGCAGTTGCTTTTTAGGAAGAAGGTAACATTCAGCAGTGTTGTTTCCAGACATGCTTGGCCAGCCTATCCATCCTACTTGCCTCTCTTCTGTTGCATGCAGCTCAGTTCTTAGAGGGCGAACAATTGACTTCAGTGACCAAGGTGGGTTTCTCTGTTGTATCACTCTGTTCGTCTCTGGTCAGACCCTCAGCTCCCTGTAGAAATACAGCCTTTTTGCTACTGAAATGCACTGTCACTGTAGCTCTCCAAGTCACTGTCACACGCTGCACTTGGGTTTATGCCACGAAGTAGTCTTGGCTCTCACAAATTCCAATGAGTTGGTAGCTCTAGCCAGTATGTTAAATCTCCTTTTCTGACATTCTGCCAGTCTTGCAGTCTGAAAAATCACTGTCCTGTGACAGAGTGTAGATAGTAAAAAGAATGACATAGCTACAAAATGAATTGTAAATAGCAAGGGATGTTACAGAAAAGGAAAACAGGTTTTGCAAAAGACATCAGGTCTGATGAAGGAATATGCAACTTGTTACTTAGCAGGGAAGGTGAGCAAATAAGAAGTGAGGCTAAAGCCTCGTGGACCCTTTGGTTTCAGTATGTCCTCCTTTCTTCTACCCTCATCCTATAAGAGGGTTTAATTATTACCCAAAGCTCAATACAATTCACGTTAACTGCAGTAAATATTAACAGCAAAGTTCTGGAAAAGTGTACAGAAATGGGAAAGAGCAGGCTGAAGAACACTTAGCTGTAACTCAGCTGACAAAGCATAACAAAGCATGTCAAGGATGGTGTAAATTGAAAGTCATGCCTCCTTGAGAAGAGAGGTAAATCCTATGGAGGCAAAGTGCTCTGTTGTTATTTGATATCAGCTCTACAAGGAGAGGAATTAAGGGGCCAAACAGGCAGACTAGTGGAACACTGGGGCTACATATGTTCTTTTCATTGTGGCTGACAGGCATATCTTTCAAAAAGAGGCATACAATCATAAGGAGATTTGCATCTGAAAATTAGCAGGGGAGTTTTGACTTGGCACAGGTGTTCCTGCAGAGTTTTGCTGGTTGATAATAGTAATTTCTAGCACCAGAAAGCAAAAGCCAGAGCCTAAAACCACAAGAAGTCTGGAAGAGTTTGGGTGAAGTGTGAGAATCTGTTTTAGAGTCTTGTGCAGGCTTCTGTTCATTGCCTGTGCTGTACACAGCCTTCCTGAGAGCTGGAATGTTATCAGTCGCTGGTAGCACTATGGGCATTGCCCAGCTCAGGGAGCTGGGGCCGGAGAACAGAGGGCTGCAGGGCTGCACAGAAAAGTGAGAAGGACAGCAGCCAGTAGGCTGGAGGGGCTTCCCCCAAAGTAAATCAGCCACTCAAATCTAACTCTGTTTCCCAGCAAGAGTTGTCAGTCCCTGACTGTGACTAAAGAGCTATAGCAGGATCTGGAGCTACCAGCTGGCCTAGCAGTTGGCTATGCAGAGACTGTAAAATAGTTATTGTTCTCTTCTAGAAATTAGGCAATGTCTATGAACCTGTTTACGTGCCTTGTTGGATTTTTATTTTTATTTTTTCCTTTCTCCTTTTAATTACACTCTTTTCATTAAACCAACTCAGTCATGGTTGCAGGTGAGAAAAATCAGATCAGTGTGCACAAAATGAATTTAATTTCCCCAGATTGCTGCACACTGTCTTTATAGCAACTCCTTTAAAGTTGGAGCAATTGCATTTTATGAAAATCTAAACCTGTCAGTAGGGTTAGACAAGTTCTAATAACATGTTCAAATTCATCCAAAACACTTA